GATCATTAAAACGATGACTTTCTACAAAACTGCATTTTGGAGAGATTATGGTATGTGGCGACACAAAACACAACCAGTATACATGGAATGTAGGACCATTTTTTGGTGACAGATCTGTGTGCAGCTGGATGTTTCCCCAAGCAGTGTCCATAAAGAAGGTCAAGTATCTGGTATTTCCTTACTATTCTGAAGCGAACTTGCATGCAAGCTTAAGCAAAAGCTAGAGGAGATCTCGCGACTAAGTGGCATAAGTGCGAGCATCACTAAAGGTAACGTAAATTCACTAACTGATGTGAGTACGAAGTGAAACTAATGAAGGCTAGGTCAACTAAACTGTAGAGTTGAATCACGCACTCCATGTATTTTGATGTGATTATAAGTGATCGTTGTTTGTACGTGATCGTTTTTCTCAAATGGATTTTAGGATGCTGTGGGAGTGTCATCAGTCATAATGGCCCTGTCGTCTATTGCATTGATGACACAAAGCCCGATGGTTCATTTCCCTGCATCATGGGCTTCGTGGTTGCTGATCGGGCTCGTGAATTGTGTGGAACGACACCAGAGGAAAGGTTTGTGATCGCGCTTTTGTGCGTTCTTCATCCGAAGCAATGTCACCATTAAAATGGAGACGGATGGTAGGGTAGCTGCAGTATTGATGGATGCACCGCGGTGGTCTGGTGGTGAGGATCGATCGGCATGGTCGTGGTGAGGGCGGCGGCAGCGATGACCATGATTGATGTTGATAAAGATTCAGATAGCAATACTAGAGATGTGAACACCATGAAAAAGATATTGCTCTTGAATAGGTGTTGATCTGTATAAACAAGATTGTAGTAAAGTGAATATGTTAGTATATAACCAGCAAAATGTATACACCTAACAAATTGATTTTGATATCGAATTTACTAATGCTTTTAATGTCATGGCTATTGACTTTACAAATCGATCTGCAATTAAAACAGATAGATAAAATATGTGCTGTGATAACTTAATATTTCAGAAAGAAGACCATATGCAAGCATTATGTTGAAAGCTTTGGAATGAAGGAGTTTATGCATGTATGTATATACAGGGGTAGAAATTTACTTTTG